TTGATTACTGTTGATTAAAAAATTGATATGGGAGGCAATGTAATATTATGTTAAAAGACAAGCTTTGAAATTAAGAAATGTAAATATGGCATCTAAGGGAAGCCATGAAAACTCTGAGGGCAGTGCTAGATGGCACAGTCATTAGGGTCCCTAGTAGAACTTGGTGGGTGGGGTTTGGAGAAGCTAAACATCCTGAAATGTGTGGGATGAGCCCACACATGAGGCCTGCCACAAACAACATTTAAGAACCTGGGTTACAGGCCATATGGTTTCTCATTTGCCATCTGACCTTTACTGATCTCTGATTAAGTCATTTAATTCTTAGCCTCAAGCTCCTCAAAGGTAAAACTGGAATAAATGTACTGACCTCAAAGAGGTCTTAGAGAGATTAATGCACGATAACATGGCGTGGGCTTGAAGCAAATCTTGGCTCTTCCACTGGGCAACTGTGGGCCCAGTTTTACCTCTCCAGTTTCTCAGCTATAAAACTCAGACAAAAAGTCTACAGTGATTTGATGAGTAGTGGCTCAATACAAGCTACCTAATATAAACATTATTGCAGGCCTAGTATCAGTGGTGCTCCCCTCCAGGCCTCTTCAAACCCCACTATGAAGCCACGATACATACTTTCAAGTAATTACCCCCATCTCAGATCACGCCTGACAAGAACAATTAGTAAAAAGGAGTAGAGTTTATTCATTAGCGTTATTAATTGACATTTTAGCAAATTGTCTTTCAAAACAAATCTGCAAGCTGATTAAAAAAAAAGACATACTAATAGCATTGACAAATGAGGCACAGTACGCATGTTTCCAGGTGAGTCCTATAAATAATTACTAGCCTAGAGGATTAGATGGCAAAGTACAGGTTTTAAACACCAGGTGAAATGCTGAAATATAAGCCCAAAACAACAAAATCTAGTGCCAGCTTCTTTAAACACACCCCACACCCTCCCAGTAAGATGAAACTCTGGAAAGACGGTGAAAACTAAAAACAGTATTTGCAGAAACCTATTGAAATTAAGATGTTTGAGGCCTCCCTACCAGACTGGTTGACATGCTTAAAGCTGGAGGAAAAAAAAAAGTCCCACAAACTGGTGACACCCAATGCAGGCAAAAAACAAAGCAACCCTGTCCTTTGGCCAGGGCCAGCTGCAGATCCTCTGAAACTTACAAGTCCATTAACAGTCCTCCTCATTCCAACCATCACAAAGTTCCTCACCTAGCCCTCGTGTCATCGTGGTTACCTAAGAGGTCTTCAGGTTTAACGGCTGGGGAATCATTCCCGAGAGTTACAAAGGGAAAAGAGCAAGACTGGAATAGTGAGGCATCACACATATGCCTGTATCCACAGACCACGTCTAGGGAGGAATGCAGCAGAAAACTGAAGCACTCGGGGGAAGGCACAGAGAACGGGGTGAAAGGGAGGCTTTTCACTTTCTGTATTGCTTCAGGAATTTTCAAAGACATATGCATGGATCCCATTTTTAAATTTAAAATGAGTTCTCTTTAACAAGGAAGCAGTGTTCCCACCTGTCAGTTTTCCTTCTGTGCTCACCCAGCATGTGCCATGACAAGCACAAGCAGTCAGGCCACTGAGCCAGCTCCCCACCTCTGCAGCTCTGCCAACCCCTTCCCTCCACTTGAGGGGGTGAAGCACTCGCAGGAGTAGGCCAGAAAATCTATTTGAAAAGCCTGTTCTTGAGTTCTGATGAAGTAATTCTTCAGTAGCTCTAAATGTCTTGATGTCCGTGTCATCAAGCAGGTTGTGATGCCAACAACCCTGTTTTGCACAAAGTAAATAAGACAAAAGGCACTCTGCTGGCTCACAGCTCTTCCTTATCCCCAGTAAATGCCTGGCTGGACCTGCCTGCATCAGGAAATATCAACAAACTGTGTATTTACTCAGCCCATCAGCCCCCACTACCGCCACCACACTGCACTAGGAAACGACCCAACTGGCCCAGAACTCAGGCTGGCCCGAATGATAAAGGACAGCAGCCATTGCATATCCCAAGAGGAACAGGGCTGGTTAGAGTTGCCCCATAGCTCCCATACTCAGTTTGAAGACAATCAACCTCTGGGCCTAAGGACCCAGATGATCGAATGGTCCCTACTAGTACCTCAGCCAGCCACCACTGCAGATCCATTCATCATGAGCTGCGTGATCTTAGGCAAACTGCAGAGCCTGTCTCACCCTGGAGGTTCTCGTCTACAAAATGGCATCAGTCATGGTAACACCTGCAGCTCAGCTCACAGAGCAGCAGTGAGGACAAGACACACGAAGCTTTTGGCATATAGGTGATTGTATCGACTAGCATCATTACCACAATCTAAGTGAGAACTTGCAGCAGCCTCCTCTTCCATCTTCCAAATTCCACTACACCTTTCACCCATTAGCAAAAGTGACTTTGAAAAGAGTAGGAGCCGGGCACCAGTGGCTCATAACTGTAATCTTTACTACTTAGGAGGCTGAGATCAGGAGGATCATAATTCAAAGTCAGCCTGGGCAAATAATTCACTAGACACCCCCCCACCACCACCATCTCCAAAATAACCAGAGCAAAATGGACTGGAGGTGTGGTTCAAATGGTAGAGCATCTGCTTTGCAAGGGCAAAGCCTTGAGCTCAAACCCCAATCCACAAAAAAAGGGGGGGGGGGTTGGGGAAGAAGGTAGAAAGCAGGAGCCAGGAGCTGGGGATGTGGCTCAGTGGCACAGCAATAGACCAGTATGTACTAGGCCCTGGGATCCAAACCCAGCATCAGGCAGGAAGGGCCTTAAGAAGGTGGGTCAAGGTGGATAGCCTTAAGTTAACTCCGCCTCCCTACCCCCACTGAAAAATAACAACAAAAGCTCAGGCCCAGAGTCCAAGGCTCACTTTGACCACCATTAACTAGGGGCCTCAGGCTCTACTCACACCCACTTCTCCAAAATTAGAGTAGTCTCTATCAGATGCTCCCAGTACTCCTTTGTTGAATTTTTCACACTTAGAAACAGCAAGTTGTCTCAGGAAGACCCATCTGTAACCATCTAGAGCAAGAGCTCTGTTTACCACCACACTGCCAGTACCTTAAACAATGACAACCCAGATAGCTGTTGGCTAACAAGGAACATGGGGACCCATCCTTCCAAGAATTATAACCCATACAGCCAATGACAGTGTTAAAGGTAGAAGATCTGACCACAAGTTCCAAGGTTCTATCTTGTTGAACTTTCCCTGAATGGAACCAATGAGGTCCCATAAAATAACCAAATGGCAAATGTGCATTGCATTTCAGATCCTGAGCTAGGTGTGATCACGGCACTTGAGAGGCTCAGGTAGGAGAATCATGAGTTCGAAATCATCCTGGGCTACACAGTGAGACCTTGAATGAATGCATACATACATATATAAATTCACTCCAGATCCTTTAGTTGAGCAGTTCAGACCAGATGATTCATTCACCTTACTAATACTGCATTTAACTAAGGTACAGGACTTCCGGTGACAGCTTTCACTGCAACCTCAGTACCTGTTTACGTTACTCCTATGCTTTCTTTCCCCGCTCAGACTGAGAAAGCTGCTGCTAAAAACACTCACAGTGAAACTATGTTGCTATCACCCTCTGGGAAGTCAGCTTCCAAGAGAAGCCCACTCTCTCTGAATTTGCTAAGATGAAGAGACAGCAGACTGCAAGCAAGTTGAGAAACAGAGCGCTAAAACCCAAGGTCTCAGTGACGTCCACCACCCTGTGATTATCCAATCAGTCTGCGTGGGTGTGCTGGGATAACCTGACATGAAACGTGACTAGACAGGATTCCTTTTATCCTTCAGCTCACAGCTAATCACTTCATTCTTTTTCCCTTTACATTTTCCTAAATGTAGCAAAATGCACATAAAATTTATCATCTTAACCACGTTTAAGAATGTAGTTCTGTGGCACTCAGTACATTCATGTTGTGTGCAACAAGTCATCACCATCACACCAGAACGTCTTCATCCCAAACATAAATTCTGTACCTGTTAAACAACAGCTCCTCATTCCCCTACCCCAGCCATCCTATTGGCTGACTCTATGAATGACTAGCCCAGGTATTTCACATAAATGGACTTATAACAATATTTGTCCTTTTGTGACAGCATGTCTTCAGGATCATTCATGTTATAGCATGTATCAAAATTTCCTCCTTCTTTAAGGCCAAATAATATTCCAATGCATATGTATCACTCATATATCAATGAACACTTGGGCTGCTTTCACCCCTCAGCTATTATGAATAATGCTGCTATGAACACAGGAGAGCAAACACCCTACTTTCACTTCTTTTGGGTATTTAACCAGAAACTGCATTGTTGGTTCACATGGCAAGTCTATTTTCAATTGTTCAAGGGACCTCCATAATGTTTTCTGCATATTTTACATTCTTACCAAAAACCCATAAGCGTTCCTGTTTCTCCATGTTCTCCCCAACACTTGTCATTTTCTGTTTTCTTGATAACAATCATCTTAAAATGGCAATCCTTTATTTTTTAGACTTTAAACCAGTTAACTGGATTAAGTTTTTCTCTCATCTATGCAGTTGGCTAAGGATGTCAGAAAACCTGATTTTCAAGAGTATACTTCATGAACATTCACCTTTTGAGAGGCAGTTTTAATAAAGCAGCTGAGATTTTTTTTAAAAGAAGAAAATGCTTTGGAAACAAAACCTGAATTCAAATCTAAACAGCTACTTCTGAGGAAACCTCAGTTTCGTCTTCGTGAAATAGTTTCAATTACCCGTATCTTACTAGTTCTTCGGAAAAGCAATGGGGCATGGAATCAGGTGGTAGAGTGTTTGTGCAGAAGGAGGTTTAATCTCCAGTACTGAGAAAAGTAAGTCTTGGAAGACTTAATTAAATTACAGAATTATATAAAGCACTTAGATGGTGCCCAGCACCCAATAAGACTAAAAAATGACAGATGATAAAAGAAAGTTTCATTATTACTGGAATACCACTAAAAGCTACAAAGAGAGGGCTGGGGGTGTGGCTCAAATTGTAGAGTGCATGCCTAGGAAGCATGAGGCCCTGAGTTCAAACCTCAGCACTGCCATATATATTTAGATGGTTAGTATCTAAATATATATGGATGTGGAGACTCTGTATTCTCATACAATACACACATGCTTCCAAACATTTATATTAGGATATTTTATATATATTTATATTTATATACATTTATAGAGATGTATAACCTTTGCTCATCTATTCAGATGATTTTAATTTACTAGACTTGCACATATAGTTCCCAAGGCCCAAAGCTGTCCTTGTAGCCAAGATAGCATTTTCTTACATGGATTTCTTATATGTAAGTATATAAACATCAATATTCTTTTACAGAGTAGACAGAATGTCAGAAAATAAACAGCACAAAATCATAGGTTTTTTCACAGTTTGAAAAGGCAGAAGCAAGATGTTATCACAGTATCTTAAATTATACTTAATGTAGGAATTTAGCAAATCATAGAGGGCCTTTGAGACGAGATTGTTTCTCCCTCTACTCTTGGTTAACTAATTAAAAAGTTAGTGCTAACTGACTATCTTTCAAACATAAAGCTTAGGCTAAATTCACATAGTACATGAAAAAAAAGTTGAAGACCATCTTAGCTGTCTTTTCCTTAGACTCTTTTTCTGGCTTCTCAGTGAAATTCAGAGATTTTGATTAAATCTTAGAAATCATTTAACCCAAATCACCAAACAGCTGCTGTTATTTCTGTTTCAAGAAATTAACTAAAATTATAATAAAATAGAAAATACTTGGGGAGTTGAGGCAGTTATAAAAGGAGATCCATGAATACCTGACATTTAAATAAACCAAATGAAAGCAGATTTAAAATAAGAGGTAAATCAAAAGGATGCTAATTTGTCATCGAAACACTGCAAGACCCTTTACTTGTACACACCAGGCATTTTTTCTGAACAATTTCCATTTATTATCACTTCTAATCTACATATGGCATCTGACTTTGAATCCACTAATATTACAATGCATTTTAAATTACTCCTTAAAATGTTGACATATTACATTGTTTGTATACATCACTGAGAAACACGCATGCAAAATAATACTCCAAAACCTTAGTTATGTTACTAGAGGTATTTATCCTTCCACCCACCCAAAGAAATAGTTCAAAACATTGGGATCTTCTGATAATATCCTCAGTTTAGGTGTATTACTTTGGGTTTATTTAGGAAACTTTTTCTGCTTCAGTAACTATCAAAATGCTTTAAAATTACTTTCCAATTTTCCTAATTAAGGTATATGGGAATGTAATTTTAAGTCTTTCTCGGGTGGTTCAAGATTTAATGAGGGGTCTCAGCTGTTTTTCAGAAAAGTTCAGGATCACATAATGTAGATGTGTCATTACCAGGTCTCCACGATTACTGGGGCCAGCCAGGAGGAACTGGGCTAAGACACAGACAGCAAAACACACCCTACAGGATGGGTTCCTGAAGTTAGCTTTGCTACTCTGCAGAACAAAGACTGTCTGTTCTCCCTAAAACTGGATGTTCTGAGCACTTGGCATTTCACTCTTCCTTCTCCGCCCTCTGAGGCTTTGCTGTAATCTGACCACCAAGAAGTTTGGGACTGACAAACGGGACGTCTCGGTCACTGTCCTCACCTTTTCTCCATTGATTGAGCTTTTCTGAAATCTGAACCCCACTTCCCAGAGTCAGCCTGACCATAACCTTCTGTGTAGGACTGACACTCAGACTTGGGCTGCTGTTTAGGTTCAAAGTTATATAAGAGACTCTGACTCTCCAAACTATAACCTCTGACAAGGAACCACAGCCACACAGCTTTGGTGGCAGATCGTGGACTGAGAGCAGATTTTTCAGGTGGTGCTCTGTGTCCCGAGGCATGGCTCAAGCCACTTCGGATGACAAGGCTGATGAATCCTCACAATTTACCCAGAGCAGCTACATTACAGGGAGGTGCCTGGCCTCCCGCATATCCTAATTCCACCCTGCAAGAGCGGGACCCAGCACAGGACCACAGACCGCACTTAGCTGTCATGTCTCTGTCACATCTCATCTCCTTTACACTTAAACAGCTCTTCAGCTTTTTTCTTTCTTGCCCATGACTGGTAGTTTTTGGAAAATGGCAATTTGGACATTAAGTGTATTTACTTCCACTCGTTTTCCCACAGGAAGATTGAGGTGACTCAGAGCATGGAATGTGGAGGTATATAACGCTGCTGTTCCTTACTGGTGATGTGAATTTCAATCCCTTGTTTAGGGTTCAATCAGTTACTATTTTTTAATTTTTTACTAGTGTGTGTTAGTTGTACAAGAAGGTGTCACTGTGGAATTTCCACACATGCACATGCTGTACTTCGGTCATTCATACTAACTGCCTCTATTGCTCTTTCTTTTCCCCATCTCTCCTCCCTCTATTTTTTGGTGGGTTTCATTATGTTATTTTCATACACAGACACAATGTGCTTTGGTATTTCCTTTTGTAATCAACCATGCTATTGCATGTGTGGGGAGCACAACTCACTTTGATTTCAGAAACTGACCTATTCATTTGTTTGGTTAGCAAATCTTTGCTGAGCACCTGTTCCTTGCCCAGTCCACTATTGAGGAGGCACTGGAAATACCGCAAAGGAAAAATACAAAATCCTTGTCCTGGGGGAGTTTGCATTCTAGTCAGCAAAGTCAGACAAGGAGCAAGTACTGTGGCCTCTGGTGACAAGTGCTTCCAAGAAAATAATGCAGAAGCAGGTACCACAGGAAGGAGTGATGGAGGAGAAATTTGATCAGCAAGTGGTGCTGTGGTCTTCAGTCCACTATTCCAGAAGAGATCTTCCAAAAGCAGTTGTTTTGTGTCACTTCCTGCTTAAAATTCAAAGCTCCTCTGTGGACATCAAGAATCTTTATAGAGTACCCTAGCCTCCTCCACACTCTTCTCCCCTCATCCTCTCTGGCAGTAGCACCTATGCTTCCTCCCAATGTGCCCTGCTGTGCTCCCTATTCAGGCCCCCACGTCCCACCTGGAATAACTTCTTTTTTTGTCCATTCATAGCACCTCCCGGGGGAAGTCCTTCAATGATGAGAAACGGAGGGGGGGGGGGAATGATGAGTTCACAAACTGCACCATAGTAAGAAGAAATGAAAAATGTGCTTGCAATTATGAGAAAAATTTAAAAGGCAATTACTTGCATTCTCAGTTTGTACAAAATTTTGTATTATATACAAAAGTATTTGTTGTATTTTTAATTAGGTAGAGTACCTGGTAAAAGGCTTGATTTTTCCCTGTTCTTTGATTTCCTTAAAGAAATTAGTTTGCAGAGATAATTCTGTACCATTCATACCCAGGCTAAGAAAAATTAACAGGCATTCTTTGTGCTAAAATAGCTTGTAAATAAGCATAGTGAACATGGATAAAATGTGAACACCCAGAAGGCAAGTAGCACAGAATTCCTCCTACATCAACCCACTGAGTCACACGTTGAAGTGATTCTATATCCTTATAAGGTCTCTATTCTTTGTTCAGTTTCACAGGAGTTCCCAAGAAGCATGAGACCAGAGCCCCACTTTAAAGAGGTTAGAAAATGTCGTGAGATAGTAAAATACATGGCATGGTATCATTAAAACTCTCAGAAAAAAGTCTTAGGATTACTGTCTAGATAATTAGACATAATTACATTAACAATTACAGGTTTAAGTACCAGTATTTAAGAAAATTGTTCATTTGCTTAACAGTCCATTTTTGTTTTATATTTGTATGTTTTAGAGAAAGGGAGGAGTTGGTGTTTTTCCACTTACTTCTTTGAGCATAGCACTTGCTCTGAGGATAACTGTGTCTTCACTGCACACCGTATTTGTGATTTAGAAATCTCTGGAGTGGGCCTCCCTACTCCCTGTTCCTGGCTGCTCTTCACAAACTCCCCTCTCCCAGGCCAGTCACCTAGCAAGCTATTAATCTGTATCTAGAACTGATCAAAACCAATGAACTGGGTAATCCTCACTACCACCTATAAAAAGAGGACTTGAAATTCTACCTCCAGCCTCTCCACACACAAAGATTTACAAACAAATGAGGGAAGAAAAACAGAACAGTAAGAGAAGTCAGTAAAGAAAGCTGCAGGTCTAGGCTCTTCTCATAGCTGAATTCCCAAAGAACACACAGGAGGAACCCAGTCTCATTGACAGCTAGGTTCTTCCATCTGTCCAAAGGAAAGTAGCAAGGGACAGCTGACTTCACCCTTCTCTCACTCTATCTGGAAAGTTTAGTCTGTCAGGAACACCCACAGAGCAACATATATCTGCCCACCTGCACATTTTCCTAGTCAGTTGTTCTTAAATTTGTTAAGATTTTAGGAATTCCCTATTTAAAACTGTGAATGTACATTTTGTCACAGAACGTTATGGGGGAAGAAGAAGAAATACCCTCTCAGTCTCCAGATGCTTAACTTTAATGTATCTGTGTGAACATCATTGAGACCTCACAGGCTGTTATGAAATGGACTGAAAACTGGCCACTTAAAAATGTACTTGGATTTTTCATCTGTAAAAATAACCCCCAAAAGTGAATTGATTTGTCATGGAAGGAGAGGCTCCGGCGGGAGCGGGGGCGTGCACCCAGCAACAACAACCAGGAGCCGGAAAGCTTGTGAGAGTGGCAGAGGGAGAAAAACTCCACAGGAGAGGGGGGAAGACCCACTTCCCATGGGAGCTGTAAACAAACATGCAGGCCAGAGAAAGCGGGTGCAGTGTCACCTCCCCCAGTGTACTTGGAAAGGGGAAAGCTTGCAGCAGAGGCTCACACACAGGAGAACTCTGAGTAAACAAAGCCTGTGGGGCCAGGTGAGTGCTAAGCTGACCCCTGAGATCTGCATAAATAATGGCTCCAGCAACAGCAGGCTGACAGCAGCAGGCAGGCAAGCCACAGCCGCAGATACCATTCTCAGAACTGTCTCCAGACTCTTTGTTGTTTTTTTTTTTTTTTTGGTCTCTCTTCCTACCTCTGATGAGAAAACAACCAAACTATACCTGCATGCTGAAAAACTTACTGAAATTGTATTGCATTTGAACTTGAGACCCTTT